TATCTAATATGCAAATGAATGAAAAAGCAAAAATTAAAATGTTTAAATATATTGCATTTCAGAGACACGATAAGAGGGAACACCAGGTTAATGTAATTGTAAGAGCCTTGGTTTACACTACCAAAAATGACCCAACTACAGTACCTAATATATCTGCCAGTATCTGGCACCATCACCCAACAGTCATTTCCTCACAGGAATGATGACAGTAAATTTCAACATGTCAGCAGACCATGGTATGCTAAATTGAGGGGTGGCAAAATGATTTACATTCTAACAGGGAGGGTAACATAAGTCAGCATTACACAATAGCACAAAACAAATTAAGCAAAAACAAATTCCAAAAGCATGTCTATCAATTTGTGTAATATTTAGCTCTGTTGCTGTGAACAATGTGCACTAAAAAAATTAGTAGTTATGTCACTGAATTGTGAACATTGTGAACATTGGGAGGTGAACACTTACAGATGTAGGATCAGAGACATAAAAACATAAAAAGCTTACAAAAAGAAGGCCATTATGACCATCTTGCCTATCTGTTTGTAGATAATTGATTAGAGGATCTAACCCAGCCTATTCCTGAAGCAAGCTGGGTTATCAGTTTCTGCAATGTTGTTGGGTACCTTGATCCAGACTCCCATAAACCTTGGTAACAAAAAATACCTCTTGCCCTTTGTTTTAGGTGCATTTCCCTTTAGTTTCCATTATTGTTCTGAGTTTTGTATTTCACAGTTGATCCACTGAGTAGACTTTGTCAGTGCCTTTGAGGATTCTAAATACTTAGATCCGGTCTTCTAGTACTTTTCCATGTGCAAGATTAAAAAAGATTGCGTTCTTTGTAGCCTGTCGGAGTATGAAATTCTTTACGATAACTGGACTTTTAAAAACACAGCAATATCCTTTTTGTAATTTGATAAGCAGAAATGTACAGTATAATGTTTTGTGCTTTGTAATGCCAATTAGATTTTACATTTATATATCCTAACATTCTGTTTCTCTCTTTTATTGCTTCCCAAAGATAGTGTAGAAGATGAAATGTTTTGTGAAAAAGGTTGCTTAGTCAGGTTCAGTGTTTCCCATCTTAAATTTATACAGTAGTTTTTCTGGTAACTACCTGTTATAACACTTTTGCCTACAACAATTGTTATCTGTCAATAGTGTTGAATTTTGTCTAAATAATTTTATATTTTATTTTGCTGCTTCTACAGTGCTAATCCTTGTATTTTGGTATAATCTGCAAAGTTGACTAGTTTACTAACTATACCAGAATCTGTATCTTTGGTATTCTGTAAATTATGAAAAGCCCACAAATTATGATAGCCCATTTTGAGTATTCCCCCTTTATCTCTACTCTGATCTATTAAACAAGTTTGCAATGTCTTAATATCTAAATACACCATGTCTTATGCTCTGCACTCTAATAAGAGTTAAGCAAGAATGCCACTGCTGTATATTGAATCTTTAGTTTAGTTTCAATTATTGTTTCTATAACCTTACATGTAATATAAGTAAAATCTAACTGTATATATTTGACTGTTAATATCTGACTAGCTTTTTATGGGTCTGCACAAAATTGGCAATTTTCTAGTCAATGGATATTACCCCTGTCATGAGAGACTGTTGAAAGAGCTTTGTTAATGGCCTATTAATAGCATCTCTTGTTTCCTTAGTTACAATTGGTCATATAAAATCAGGCTCTGGGGATTTGTTTTAAGTGGTTCTTACACCTGTAAAACGTCTACCCCTTCTGTGCAGACTATTTAATATAGAATATTTACTTCACATGAGAAATTTTCTTGATTCCTTTCTTGGTAAACATTTAAGTGAAAACTCCATTTGGTTTATTATCCATTTTACTTTCATTTTCTGTTTTTATACATCTCACTTCATCTTTTAATGATATTTTGCTGTTGTAGTACTGATAAAACATTTATTTTTTAGCCTCCATTGCCCTTTGCAACATCATTCTGTCTCTTTTGTGGCCTTTTTCATCTTTTTTCTTAACTTGTGGTTTGAATTCATTCTACTCAGTTTTTTTAACTGGAATTTGTTCTTTTTTAATAGTTTTATTAAGTACACACTCTCTCTGCATATTTTTCCTGATTGATTTAGAGAACTATTTGGCCACTTCTTTATAGCCTTTAATTTACATAAACTTGTGATGAATTTATGATGTCTTATCTCTTTCTACTTTTCTTGAGCCTTGTTTTTATCATTTCTTATTCCGTTTCCTTATAATTGTAATTTCTTTGTTTTAGACTTTATAGAATCCTTCAAATTATACTGTGATCATAGGTTCCTAACAGTTCTCTCACTCTTTTGTCCTTGATCTGTCTTGATTATTTCAAAAGAGTAAATACAGACATTCCTTTAGGTATGTACACTAACATACTGAGTAAGAAAGGAGCCATAGTCTACCATAATAATTTCAGCTGCTGACATTTTCCCTATCTATGAGATAAAACTAAATGTTACACAATAACCAGTTCTTCCTTTAAAATGCTGCACATCCTTGCTTGATTACAGTATATAAGATATCATTCTAATTGCTATATGAATCGAGTAGTCTGTAGTATACTCTAACACTATTAACTAATAAAGTTACTGTAGTTGAATTACTGTTTTGTGCTCTTTTAAACCATTCAATGTAATTATAATCATCATTAATCAAATACATTGTCTAGTTTTTTTAGACTCCTCAGCTTATACAGATGATAATTTTGAGAAATATTTTACACATTAGTTTTACGCTTCCTGCAAACATGATGTTTGTGTAGGTGTAGCACATATGTAGCACACATAGTATTTTTTACCACAGGAAAATAAAAACACCTTTACAGTAAGTCTTCTAAACTATTGTATGATTTCTTTTTTTTTACTGAATTACCACTGGTTTTCTAAACGAAGTACTGTACAAAGCACATTTACAAACTTTACTTACAAATTGAATAAGCATTAGCTAAGAGGGCCTATTAAAAGTGAAGCCTATCGTTCTTCTAATACATCAAGAAACTTTTTCAATCAATCTGTAAGAGTATGTCATAGGGGAGTCAATTTTGAAACAGATTTTCTTATTTAAAGATACTAGGATACAGTCATAGCAATGACTCTCACAATTTATTGTTGCCTTTTAGACACCACATACTACCTAAGCTCTTTAATGTAGGCCTCAAACTGTACACTGGTGCCAAAGGCTATATTTGTGGAATAATAATGAACAATCTTCATTTGACCTTGTTAACATAAAAAAAAACCTTTTGTTCACGTACATTTTCCCAATACTTTATCTCAAATTAATTACCAAACTGGAGATCACTGAAGGAAAAAAGGCACATATGGGTGTATAGTTAACATTGGCATTTTGACAAACTGTAATCATTATGAGTCTTACAAGTAAAAATCTCATTATTATTTTGCTACCTTCAGCTAATAAATAAAATGAGAGGAGTCCATCTATCTCTTTGGATACTAGTAACTAACTGATCCAAGTGTGACCTCCAGCTGTTTCTTAAAAAAGCAAGAGTATCAGCTTCAACATCGGAGCTAAATGAACAAGTCAATTTTAACTTCACACAGAAAAGTTAAAATAGTGAATATACTGTAGGCACTCTATAAAAGAAGCAAGTTGATTTTCTTTCATTCCATCTTAAAGTTTCTAGTCTAATAGATCTTCCCCTTTATGATTAAATACAAAGAATATAACAAATGATTAAGCATTTGGCTGAATGTTGAAAATGAAACAGGCAGACAGACTAAAAAGAGTGGGACTGAAAACTGAATTTTATTACAAAAAACATGTCTTGAGCCCTCTTTATGGACAGTTCTTGGTCAACAACCAAACAAATTCCTCAAGGACACCACTGGCCTAAGGGATTATTTTTTACAAGAGATAAGCTCTGTGTAGATAAGGGAGTGATATGTATGCATGTGAAACAGAATCAAGCCATAACAACTGCAAGGGGAATATAATTTGGCTGCTTTATATTTAGCCTTGACACAAGAGGCCAAGGATTGCCAAACTTAAATCCCAAACTACCTTCTCACTCCTTAAGTGTTGGCACCATGGTTGCTTGTGCTCTTCCCACGTGTACTGAACACAAAACTCATTCAATAAAACAGAAAAGGGAATAGAAATCCCTGATAACAGAAGCATTTATCCCATATTTCACTCAGAAGAGGTCAACCACTTATCATTTCTGCTCCTCAGAAGGCACAAGGAAATAAAACAGAATATCCTGAATTGATGGTATTACACTGAAGGATACTGCATTATCAATTGTTATTCTTAATTACAACAATTATTAATTAAATTATGTGAAAATGGGATCCTGGTGACCCCTCTAAATTTTTAATTAAAACCAATTGGAAACATGCAAACAGAAGTGAAATATGCACAAGACTAATGATATACTGTAATTTTAAAAGCAGTCTAGCAGTCTAGGCTTTAAATGCCTAATGAACAAGATTTATTTCCCTGAAATATAAACATAATATGCATTTTATATAATATATAAGAAATGTATTTGATGTATTCTATACATATAATAAAAGGATGTCTGTATATTTGGAATTCTGGTAGAATTGTTTCAACATTTTATATATAAGAAATTCAGTCTATGGAATTTTTCAATTAAAAAAAGATTCAGGATAACAGAAAACACATGCTTTCGGCATTATTTTCAATAATTACGCAAGTAAAATAGTGTATTAAACAGAATTATGATTTTACATAAAGGATAAAAATAAGAGAAATAAGCACTTAGGAAAGGATAAAATCGATTTGTGACTGTGCAGTTTTTTCATTTCAGTTATATGTTTACATAAAAAGAACATTTAACAGTTAACATTTAATTGAAACTAATACTTCAAGTATATTTTTAACAACTATGAAAAGTGTGATAAATTAATCCAATTCCCTGCCCTTGGAGAGCAAAAATGAACACAAACATTCCTTGGTCAAAATCGCATGACTATAAAGTTATAATATTACAAAATATTACCTCCAAGTTCCTTTACATTCAGGATGGCATTCTGGAATGGAACTGCTTTGATGCTAAAACCTGAAATGAGAAGACATAGAAACTGGTTTGTATCTTGTTTCAAAGTTAAAAGCATATCATTACATTAATGAATAGAATGTGGAACTCTATATACAGTATAACAACTACATGAATTAATTACAATTATTTAAAACATTTTTTTTTTACTTACAGCATTTTTTGGGGTTGGCTGGCTAGTATCTAATTATAGATTGCAGTATCTCAAAATATGATTAAAGTTTTCTGAAATGCTTTTAAAAAAAAGTTTGTTTTTACAGCATTAGGCTGGCCTCCAAAATGACAATTCCACTTCCTGAACTATGCAATTCTGGGAAAAAATCAGCTGTAGTGGGACCACAGATTAGGGAAGTGGGATTATATCTATATGGAAAAGTAAACAGCTCAGGCTCAAAAACTATTTAAGTTAATTAGCCCTTTAGTATTAATTTTCACTGGGAAATCCCACAAGAAGAATCTTAGACATCTTGACACAATAAGGTTTTTTACCTTCAAATACTTAAAGGCATAATCTAACTGCAAGCTCATAGTAAAGCTAGTAAAGATTTAAACAAAGATATTTATTTAGATATCATTTTTTGGCTTTTCCGCTGTCCCTGTCCTTTCCTGACTATTGTCCTATTCCCAACTGAACTAAATTTTTGTATTGCATCTTCATTGAAATGAACTGTCAGTACCATAGAATTGCCTTTTTCTGCAGACAGCACTTACAGCTGAGCTTTCAGACTCAACAACAATAATGGAAAATCTTTACTCCCATTGAAAATTAAACTGAGTCTGAACAGGCTTCTTATATAGCCTCAGCAACTGCTGCTGGGGGATTTCCCTAGAACCTGATCACACACATTGCTGTACACCTTAGACTGCTTTTACATAAGACAGTTATATATTGCCCTTCCAAACTTTAAGGGAAAACCCTTAACAGTGGATCAGTCCATCATCAGTGCAACCCATGCAACACGGCACAGCATTGATTCCACTAATGTTCACAGATGTCTATGGAGATATACTGTATGACCATTCAGCCCACAGCAGTCGAAGCAGCTGCACTCAAGAAGAGTGGAGCAGTTCAGTAACTTCTTGAATTATTTTTCATATTGGTATATTTTTAGCCCCCCAACCACTGCCTCTTAAATCTCAACTTACACGGGAGCTATGTCTGTTGCTCCCTTATACAATACATGTGCACTTATAATCTTGCCTTGTACAGTGAAAAGCATAAAAGGGAAAGTGAAGTAAGATGTGTCACTTTTGCTGTGTACAGTACTGTAGAATATTGTATTTTAGAAAAAAGATAACTGTGAATTAAAAGTACAGAACTTCATCTTGTATTTCTGGTTATATGTATGCTTACATATTAAACGATGTTAGAACAACAGTTTAGAACTAGTTAATTAAACAAGTGTAAAGTTAGTATTTGCTTGCATACCCCTTACATGCAATGACTGCATCAAGCATGTGACCAACTGACTTAACCTATGTCTATGAATTGGCTTCATTGCTCTGCTCTCCTCCCCACTGATAGCAGGTGTGTGGTGAGCGTTCTGGCGCACTAAGGCTGCCGTCGCATCTTCCAGGTGGATGCTGCAGACTGGTGGTGGTGCAGGGGAGTCCCCATTACCTGTAAAGCGCTTTGAGTGGAGTGTCCAGAAAGCGACACCTGTAAAGCGCTATATAAGTGTAAGCAATTATTATTATTATTATTATTATTATTAACCATACTCTTGATGTTCCTTTCAGATGCCTTGCTAACCCATCACTGCAGGCAGTTTTTTTTTTTTGTTTGTGGGATTTTTGGGGTTTCCTCTTCAACAAAATGCATGCTCAATAGGATTCAGATCAGGACACTGACACGGCCAGTTGAAAAGTTTCCACTTCTTCCTGATTAACTGTTTGGTTAAGTGTTTGGTATGTTGCAGGGCTCTCTCTAGTTGTAGTATGAATTGCATTTTTGGGACATCGGAAGCCAAGATGTTTCTGTATAATTCAGAATTCAGTCTGCTGCTGTCATCATCTGTTACATGACCAGTGAGCCAGTTCCAGAGGCCAGTTCCACCATGCTTCACAGATGAGGATGTGTGCTTAAGATCATTTTCAGTTTTACTTTTTCTCCATACCTTGCCTTTCTATCACTTTCATTAAGGTTTAACTTTGTCTTGTCTGCAAATAAAACTTTGTTCAAGAACTGTTGTGACTCATATTTGTTCTTTTTTTTTCAAATTCTAATCTGTCTATGATTACAGAGCTGATGAGAGGTTTGCATCTTGCAGGGTAGTCCTTGTAATTCTCTTGTCAAAGTCTTCAGCACCTAGTGAATTGAGATACCTTCCCACCTGCAACTGTGGAGATAACTGTCTGCAATCTTGTTTGCTTTCAGCTTCACAATTGCTCGCTTTGCCATCATAGACAACACTCTAGTTTTTGTCTTGGATTATGCTTTTTTTCACTCAAGAGTCAGACCCAAAAAGTAAACTCCCAAGGCTGGAACCAAGGCTATATATTCACAGCTTTTTTATGTTCCCACAATTAATGCAACATGGAACAGCTGAGCAATCGGAAACACCTGCAAGCCATTTGTCCTTATATATGAATTAATCTGAAATGGGGGTATTGAACGCCACAAATGATATCATTCTAACATGGCTAAACATGTATGAAATTCTGTATTTTTGCCATATATAAATCTTTTGATCTGAAATACAAAGGTCATTAGTACAGAGCAGACTTGACAAATTTCACTTCACTGCTTTGAGGCAAATTTAAAGCATTGTGTTATAATTCAAATAAGTAATGATTTATAACTATATACATTCAGATAAATAAAAATGTATAATTATAATTATAATATTATAATTATAATATTTAACAATAATTGAAACAATCAAATATTGAAACAGATCTATTTTAGTGCACACTATACTTTTGTTATGTACTTGACATACATACCTAAGACTCATTCGTGTCTAATTGCCTACAACAATATCAGAACCAACATACATATACTGTACTGCATACTACACACCTTACACAGTGGTCATAATCATATCTGTTTATAGATTATATATCCGTGTGTCTCATTGAAAGTAAGCTGGGGTATGGAAAAAGACAAATTCCTAATGAAATAAATTGTATTTGGCTTATAAAGTGATCTCTTATATCCTTAGCATATCCTTAATGAAGGCATGCCACTTTAAGTCATTCTGTCATATGTTAAGACAGTTCAGTGAATTAATCTTAATTTTAACTAATCATAGTTCAATTTTAAAGTATTCATGGAAGCCAATTTTGTAAACTGGGAGAGGTGCACCCCCAAAATCAACAAAGCCAACTTTGCCGTAATATTGTGTCCACACTTCTTGAGATCTTTAGGTGAATGTTGGCACACAATACTTGTGGGTAGATGTCATTCTTTTAGCATTATGAATGAAAGAATGTCGATTTGTATTTTGACTTAGCAAGGTTTTTTAAGAAAACCTGATGGGGGGGGGAGGCAGCACCCCAGCTGACAGTTTAAATGTGTGGCGAGTACCAGTATAATGAAATATACACAATAATTCAAGCAATGATTGTTACACATGCAATATCCAGGATTTTCTTTTTGTCATACATTTAATACATGTTTACTATGCATTTTAAATATTACAAAATGAACTCATTTATCAGCCTCTGAATATAACTAATACAGTGAGTGGGCAATAAATCCTAATGATCACAGAGCCAATGTTAAAATCTGAAATGGCATGGGAATTGCTTTTAAAACAGAAATATACAGATAAATATATATATATAACATTTGTCAATATAAAATACTGCACACAGTGTTCTAAATATATCAACAAACTTTACTATATGGTTCTGATAACAGTAAAACATTATCACTAAAATATAAAACATATTCTTAGATGGAAAAATTAGAATAGAATTGGAAAAATTAACAAATGCAGTCTTTGGAAGATTTCAAAAGTTAGCTAAATGAAGGAGAAATAAATCTTAAACTTGTATGAAGTGTCACTAATAAAGCTATTATTTCATGATAGGCACATTAGATGCACAAAAAGATTAAATATATATATTAGCTATTTTGAATGAACATCAATGGTAAGTACAACATTCCTGTATGATGTAGCTTATATAGAATGTTAGCATATTTGTACTAACAAGCGTGATGAACACAATGCTAAAACATTTTAGAACACAGCTCAGGTTTTCTCCCAAATACACATTGCATTTATTAATAATGCAACGTTAAAATGCATTTGCTCACAAAACTGAGCAAGTTTGGACTATTCATAAATATGATTACAGTCATTGTATGACCAAGAGCTGCCAGTATCTGACACAGGTGTACCTACAATTTTAATGTCATGATTATCGATGAGCCGCACTATGGCAGTGTGTGCAAAAACATGGATAACAATCTGAGTGTTTAAAATGCGTGGTGCCATAAAGTGAATTCTAGATCTCACTTGGTGATGAAAATGCAAGCAGATCAGTCACAGAACATCTACTGACGTACAGTATGTCTAAGAAAAGACGGTCATTTTGGTCATGTAAACACAGTGGTGTGTAGTACTTTTTCTGACAACTTTAGGAGTTGGACCTCTTTTTGATTAACATCAACAAAACAAATGACACACTGAATGTATTTATTTTGACAACAGCTTGACAGCTGTACTATACTTGCTGTTATAGTGACAGTAATGTCTACGTAATCCCCTAATCTTTCACTAGGTTAATGCTTACTCCCATAAGGCAAGAGTCACTCAAGAGTTATCATTTCTACTATGTCATCAACGTTCTGGCCTAATGTATCTCTGGATCTTAACCAAAGCAGACTCTTGTGGGATGAGTTAGGCAGGCCCATTTGTCAACATCAAACACAACCAATGTCGCTGATCTGGAACTTGTTTTGAAGACTGAACAGAAGAACTATTTTAAGTTTACAAACTATACCTAACTTTACCATTTTAATGTTTGTCATGAACGGGATTTATGGTTTTCAGAGTTGCCAAAACTAAAACCTATAAAATGTAAAATTTTCATTTTTTCATGATAAATTCTTTTTTTCCCCATTTGTTCCTTTTGCCGCACATTAATAAGAATGTTAACGAGTATGGAATTTATTTTTGACTTAGAAAACTTGCTCACATTGATCCTGAAGTTAAGGATATTTATGAAAAATAAACTAATTGAAAACTGGGTAAAAGAGAGGTGAATAAGAAGTCACTGCAGAGGAAACTATGTAGAGTGCATTTACAGGAATGAACAGGAGGCACACCTTTATCCAAACAATTGCGTGGAATATGGGTCAAGCTACTCAGCAATGCTGTTGAAGCCAATACCCTGGTATCTTTGAAGAAATGGCTGGATGAGATCTTTGGAACAATTTGGTGCAGTAACTTCTACCAAATGGGCTAGTTGAGCCTTACGGCTTCCTCTGGACTCTAATATTTCTTATACTCTTGCACTCTAAACTAAGATGGCTTGTCATTGGAATACTGTAACATTCTGCATGCTGACAAAATAAAATCTGCCTCGTGTGTGGTAAAATCTTTTTGTTTTTTAAAAAAGAAAGACAAAATTAACTTTTGCATGGTTAAAAGGTGGTATCATGACACACCATCAAATAAATCCATTGATAACTAATTTCTGGTTTTAGCAAGAACTATGAAAGTTATACAAAGCTCCAGGGAAATGCAGCTTTAAAAACAGAGTTGCAAACCTGGTTGTAAAAGTAGTAGTGCTAGGACTGAGTCCTCACAGTGGCCTCACCTGTGGTAGGCACAATATTCTCAGTGCCTTCACTGCAAAGTCTTGAGAGGAGACTTGTCTTTCCAGAGCCTGTCAGGCCTATACAAACCACATCATATTCAGGTCTTGGAGGAGGTGGTCCTTTGCAGCAGAGAGCTCTGAAACACTATAAGGAACAAAAGAAAAAAGTTTTCTTTAGAGTGCTTTGGAAAATGTCACAACATTACATAAATTACTATGGGAAAAACATTATTTGACCTGACTATTCCCATTTATTTGCATTTCCACTTTTTTCGCCTATTTTAACTTTGTGCAGTACAGGTATCAACTGTCACTACATGAATCACAGCCTGTGGCCAGAAAACTGTTGTGAAACATTAAGTATCAAATATTGTGTAAACCATGAATGGTATGTTTAAGAGTCATGTTTAAAGATCATAATCCAGAACTAAAATGAGACCGCTTTTATTGGACAAGAAATAAGAAAGGTCAGTCTGGGCTGTTAGGACATTTTGCCCCCTAAATGATATCTGTTTTGTAGAAGAAACAATGTGTAACTGTGCATTTTAAATAGAAAATTAAAACTTTGGTTTCATTAGGGTCTGCTTTGTGAGTACAGTTATTTTTAAATAACAGTATTTGCAGCAAACCGTATTAAGTCTACTCAAATATATTTAATAAAAGTATTATAGTACTAAAGTTAATTTGTGTGATGTTTTTTTTTTATATTCTCTTCCAGTCACCAATGAGAACATACTCAAAGAACATGTAACAGGTAATAAATACACAGTTCTTTAGCATTACCCCTGAAAAGCAAGGTCGAGGTCCATGCCTTTTCTCAAGAAAATATGCTGTTAAGCTCTTTGACAACCATGTTCAGATGGTTAATTAAATCTGTGCATAGTTAAAAGTTCATACACTAACAAAAGGGGGAGGCCTACAATGCGTTTATTATAGCAACTCTCAAGCACACAGTAGTAGAGGTCCCTTGAAGGTGTCAGGCAACTCAGGAAATTGAATTTTTCCATGGCTGAAGGAAACTTGAATACAGCAAACTACAAAGCTCTAACTGTATCGACATGGTAGTGGGCTTATTTAACATAGTTTAATATTTAGGCTTGACAACAGTCTAAAGCACAAAGCTAAGTCAAGAGAAGAATTTCGATAGTGTACAAACTCAATTAAAAGGGCCAAACCTCCTGAAAATAACTGAAGACAGGACAGAAGAAATAAACACAACAAATATGAATGCAATTAGTTGAATGAAAGGAAAGGGGAAAGCTACCACAGTTACTATTTGACTACCATTGCTGAGTAAACTGTATTTTATTATATATATATCAAATTATATCAAAATTGTAATCCAAAATAGATGAAAGAGAAATAGTCCAGAAACTTTAATTTGGAACATAGCCTCTCTCTGTTAAATGCAGATCCAAAAAGGGGAAAAGTCTGAAAACTTCAAGCAAATAGTAGATTATTGCATAAGCAGAAATAGAAATAGATCTGTCATATAGAGGGCACAACTATGTACAGTGCAACAGGAAACAAACATTTGATACCCCCCCCCCCCATTATCACAGTTTTAAATGTTATTCAAAAGAAAAATATAAGAAATTATACAATTTCCCATTGAAATCCATATGGAATAAAAACCAAATTAAAAGTTTACAATAAACTTATTGGCATTCGAACTATTTCTGAGTCATTAATTTCACATGTACTCTGCATTCTTGTAAATCCGCAATTTGAATAAATACCTGGCAGTAAACTCCCAATAACTTTGTTAATACTGACATCACTTTTTGGCAGTTTCATTATGCTACTCATCTTTCCTTTTAATTGTAATATATGAATTTACCCTTTGTTCCTCATCCCTGGTTTTGTTTCATTTAAAAGGGGGACGAAGCAAATATTGAAACTATTCCTTTTAAGCCAAAAAATATCTGAGTACTTAAAAAACTACGAAGAGGATCTATTCTTTTTACCCATCATTAATGAAGTGCTTGTAGAATTTCTCCAACATTTGTCGAAAACAAAAGCATGACACAGACTCTCTTCATACCGTCAGACAGGGGTAGGAGACAGAAACAAGGGTAAAAGACTAACATCCACTGCCACTCTTGTTTTCTTCACAATTTATTACTGTAAGCAAAATTCCAGTAATTGTAATCACTACCTTCTTTTCAGCTGTTCTTGCTAATAACAAATGAAGTGTCTCTAGAACCTTTCCAACACTCTCATTTGTTAAGAACAAAAACAAACCATGTCTGATGCAATGCAGCATTTCAATAACCAAGACAAACGGAAGCAATTAACAAGAACACAGAGCTGTACAGTCAGTTCAGGACAGTAGACTTCTTTCTGCATTGTGTTCGGCTTCCTTTGGAACTACAAGCAAGACACAGAAAGAAATCTTCCACCAGTGTTCCATTAATTTTCTCTTTCAGTGGATTTGACAACACAAAGTTATAGCATACCTGAGAAACACAAATTCTGGAGTCCTTAAGATTTGCTTGGATTAAACGTAGGCCTTTTATCAATGCAATGTAGACACTGGTACATTCAAAAGAATCTGAGAGTTTTTCATGGGGGAAATTTATTTATGTAGAAAATGCTAATGGTCATCTTCCCTTTCTGCATTCACCATTTCATCCTGAAAGTAATCCTGATAGAAAGGTGTGGAAGGATATACAGTACAATGAAAGAATTTTAATTTAATTACACAGCAATTTTGCCAACACTTATTTAAAGGTAAGGGAGCATGCTTTCAAATAAAATGCAGGTCAGATCTTTAAAATTTAAAGCTGCTCAGATCTGCAGGACCTTTTTACAGTAACACCAGAAACTGACAGGAGGCATCCATATTGAACTAGGAACTAGTTAACATATTATAACCTAGGATGCTCCTGAAAAGTAACAACTGGTGCAACTGGATGCCATAGAACACTCCCATTAAAGTCACCAGACAACTCAGACCTGAGGTATTCAGTACAGGTGTCTCTACTATGCCAGCAATATGACTCAACATGAGTGGGATACATGACTGCAATTATCACAATTTTACTTGGTTATTGGCAAAAGGACAAATATTTGATTACTTGTGTCATTTGCAAAGGGTAGGGACAAGTGTATATCAATACCAAAAGGTGTGGAAGGCCATTAATGAGAAACTTAGGAGTCAGCAGATTGCGGTCTACAGTAATCTAACCTCAATGCGATGACCATATTTTGAAATTGGATCTGCATCACGTACAGTAACAGCCCACTACATCACCAGAATATACTGTAAACCACTTGAGCACCCATGGAATAGGTTGGGTGAATGGTTACATTAACATTCTGGTCACCTGTCTGTTATCCAAGACCATCTACTGTAAATACTATGGGTGACAGGGTCATATCCCGTTATGTCCGAAAGCTTTGGAATACTATTGCTAAGGATAACAGAGAGTCACCTTTCTTGAACACTATCAAATCAAAACCTTCTCTTTAGAAGGCCGTTTAATTAGCTGGTTTTGTGTCTGCCCCAATGTTTTCCTACTGTATTCCAAATCCTTATTCTGCAATCCTGCTCTCCTCTTATTGTGATTTTTTTCTGATTGTAAAGCATTTTTGAGAAGCCACTTGTGAAGGTGTTATTCAAAGTAAATTTTATTATTATTGTGAAAAACAGGCCAATTGAATACCACTGCATTCTAACTTCACTGTGTCTCTACCAATACTGTGATCAAGTATACTTAAAAAACACATAACGTAATAAATAATAATAGGACCAAGTAACAATCTACAATGTTTCATGGAAATACCAACTAAATCTAATGTTATACTTTGCAAGAAAATACTAAATTTCTTTCTCGATGTCACATTCAGTAACAATAATCCACCCAGGTTATTTTCAGGGTGCAATGACTTGGATTTGACACACTATCACTTCTCCTTCCTTCCACAGAAATGATAGATAATGGAGTGCAATTTAGTCCAGAGTGGAAGTATTGAACTGAAAAAAACTGATGTGGCAGAGTACACTCATTTTTATTATAGAAATGCTTGCCTGAAGGAAATCAGAGGGTTACACCCATCTACTTAAATCCATCTCAGTTTTTGTAAGTATGGTATTAAAATTTGTTAACAGTCAGGTATAAGGATGTGTAGATTTCAACACTGTGATTTTTAAAATTATTAACAATCTGTATTTTTACAAGCACAGTCATAATTGCCTGTGAAGTACTCAAAGGCAGACTTACAGGTTCATTTCAAATCACAAAAGCGTGCTAAAACAATTGGGAAAACAACAAATGGGAGAATACGAATAAGGGTGATTGAGCAAGAATTTCAGGATATCATCAGCGTAAAGTGAAATGAACTGTTGCCACGTTATGTGATTATATAAAGGTTCAGCATAAAATAGACAAACTGTACAAACAAATCGCAAGTACATTATATTGAAGTTGTAAAGAAACAATTTCTGAAACTTTCTAAATACTGTATACCACACTGCACAAACATTTCTGAAATGTGGCTTCAGAGGCTCAATGAATATTACACAGTCCAATCACTCCAAAACACAGCCTTCTTAACATCTGTTTATAATACTCTACCACTGTTACTATAAAGCCCAAATTAGGCATATCTATAAATACACTCCATATAAAAAAAGTCTGTGCTATTCTCTCAAGCCATAATGGTATCGGAAATTGTAAAGTATCTCTTCCATGATCACTATTCTAAAAGTACTTGCAGATTCTCCTGGATCGCAGATTTCAGCATACCCTCTGTGATCCCCAGAGGGGCTGCTTGAAAGAGAGACTCATTCAGCTGTTTAGCAAATATCTGTGGGTAAAATCCCTGACTGCAGACTGGCAAGATCACTGTGTTTGCAGCTGAGCTTGTATAAACAGCACACAGGTAAAGAAAGATTAATGGAGATTAGTCTCTCCCTGTAACACAAAAGGAAAAATAAGATACAGTTTTTTTTGTGTATAACAGTCCGGTGGTGTTCATTTTTAACTTAATTCTTTTCCTTTCAAAAAGCTTTTTAAGCAAGTAGATGACACAAACAGGAATAAAAAGTAAACTTAACTTTATGCAACAGGAAAGTATATATTTTTCAAGAAAAGAATAACAACACTTTGGATTCATAAGATAGAAGCATAGCATTATATA